ATGATTTGACCACAAAATTGGTTAGGGAGTTGGATATAAATTATATATTTGAGTTCGTGATGCCATGAAAAATATTTATCTTCAAAAGTTTTTGAAATTTAGGTGTGTGGGCCCGAGGTTGACTTTTGTTTACTTTTCGAGTGGGGTTGGAAATTGATTCTAATAGTTTAATTATGAGCTTTTGAGCATATATTGATTGGTTTGTACGTTCCTTTGGCTAGTTTTATGTTGCTCGGCATCGATTTGACGGTTTAAGTAAGGTGTGGGAACCGAGTACTGGACTTGAAAGCAAGATAAGTCTCTTGTTTAATTTTGTAAGAGTAAATTATCCCTGTAGGTATTTTATTTGATATGTGCTACGTGCTTTGGGTGCTACGTACGCACGAGGTGACAAGCGTCCGTGCATAAGCTAGATTCTTTTTTATGTCTGGGTAGGCTTAGAGAGTGTTTGGATTGGCTTTTAAAAAATAACTTTTAAGCTAAAAAGCCAAAATTCATAAGTTGGTGATATCCAACTTTTGACTTTTGGCTTACTTTTGTAATTTTTATGCCTAAAAGTAAGTGCTTTTAAGCACTTTTTATCATTACCAAATACCACAAAATTAGAAAAGTATTTAAAAGCCAATAAGCACTTAAACTAGGCCAATCCAAACACCCTCTAAGGCCTACATCATGCCTTAACTGTACTACTTGAATTTTTCTTGATTGTTTGATTACTTGCATTTATAACTGAGCTTGAGACTAGAATTTACATATTTGACCGAGCCTCTTTACTTTAAGTTTTGGCGGGATATTTGATTGTTGGTAAAAAAAATTCTTTCTCTTGTATTCCTATCCTCATATTGTATTTATGTGATCGGTAGTTCCATGTTTTCCTGACTTACACGTATCTTTGTGAGTGGGGCTAGTGGCGCGATGAAAGTTTCTCTAATCTTGTGGGATTAGGTTGTTTGCCTCGGCAGTATTAAAAAATATTATTATGTGAGCGGGTCATTCACCTCGACCGTATTATGATATGTATATATGGATCGGGCCGTACGACCTGGGCAATATTATATAACACTACTCTTATGCGATCGGGCCATTCGCCTCGGCAGTATCGTGCGTTATATTTGTTAGGGAGTCAGAGTATATATAAGTTTTCCTGACTTGAGATTTGACATTGTACTTGATATTGGTGTTCTTTGTTTTCTTCAAGGCAATTTGTGGTATTTGATGATTTCGTAGTTATTCTTACGAGAATCATGTTGTTTATATTTATCTTTTTCGTTGCTACTTTTTGGGTTTCATACCTGTGTACTTTTATGTATATTGTTATTGGACCACTAGTAAGTGTCGAGTTCGACCCCTCGTCACTACTTCTTCGAGGTTAGACAAGATACTTACTGGGTTCGTGTTAATTTACATGCTCATACTATACTTCTGTACTAATTATGCGGGTACTGAGACAAGTAAACCAGGTGGTCACTCGGGCACGTAGTCGCATCCGTTGAAGACTTAGTGGTGAAATGTTTTCCATGCTTCGACCCGCAACACCCGGAGTTTCGTTCCCCCTATGTTTATCTTATTCTGTCTATTTTTTTCGGACAATAGTTATAGTGATTTTGTATATTCTACTAGATACTCATGTATTTGTGACACCGAATTTTGGGAATTTTTAGTAGATGTTCATAATATTTATATCATTTCACTTTATGTTTTGTTCATACTTCGTGACTTAGTAAGAATCAAAGTATTTAACTATGGTTTCTAAACTTAACTCCACTTTATTATTGAAATTCTTGATTTTAAAAAAAAGTGTTATGGACGGTTGTTTGAGTTGATGGTTTATTGTTGGCTTGCCTAACGTTAGCGTTGGGCACCATTACAGCCTATGGTGGGAATCAGGTCGTGACTAAATCGTCCAAATAGATATGCATCGCCTGATCTACAATTCAGTCTAATTGTTTTAGACAAAGCCGGTAAAAAAGCTGAATGACTTTGAAATTTCTCAGAATATATTCTATTTTGACCCAAACAGTTTGCACCTATATGCATACATTGCGATAGACAAGCGACAATAGAAAAGGGCTGAGAGCGTTATGTATAACGAAAACTCTCTTCACATATGATAAAGCCATAATACTGTTTGACAATTGCTCTTTAGTTGAATTATCATAATTGACTATGTAATATCAAAAGATAATATGTCGGATCCACTTACTAAATACCTGACTAGAGAGACGGTCGAGAGATCATCGAGGGAAATAATACTATGACCAACATAAGTTTTCATGGCGGTAAACTGGAGATTCAAAGACCTAGGTTATGAATGACATTTCAACATTGTCAAATAATATTTTAGTCCATTCTCGTGATGAGCTAAAATTTAGTAATAAGGATAAAGTGTTAAGGCTTTTAATAGTTTCTAAGTTTGATATGAGATTATCAAATAATATATCTATGAGATTACACGTTTAGGAATTATCTATGTAAGTTTGAAATGTAAGCCCCTTCAAGGAAATTTTTGTAAGGCTAATTCTCTATGCACTTATAAAATCAGACGGCGTTCATGGTTGAAATGAACAAAATAATTAAAACTAAAGACGGGTAAGCATTGATTGTGTGACTTATATTGCCTAGGTATATACCAATTCTCGACAAACAAAGATATCAAATCTACCGATTGACCAAATATATTCGATATATATTCCCTACAGAAAGTTCAAAGGCAAATATACTTATCAAAATGCGATTACTCCTTACTGGCGAATCACATAGTTCTTCATGCATATTTTTATCATATAGCCATTCCCCGTTTATGTGAGGATTGTTGGATTTTTAGTTGTGGTATGAATAGAAAATAAAGGGAAGAGAAAGGAGAAAAATAAAAAAAATTTAAAAAGGTTCCTTTTTTACTAAGAGGATTTATCCCTTGTCACACAAATTGATCCTCGATTGGCTCACGCTATGTGGTGTAAGTGGGGAGGATCCATCACTTAAGTATCATCATCTTCCTTCACAACAGAGTACTTAGATCTGGAGAGGTCAAGTAGAGCAAGAGTTTTCTTGATCTTTTCAGCAACATCGCTTCCTCCTTCGGGTGTGTTTGTGATAGATCTTGCTCCTTTTGAGGATGAAGATCCTAAAATAGGGGTTGATACGGACGACACTTGGGGTGCTTGTTGTCCTAACGAGCTTGTTTTGCTCCTCGTAACTGGTCCAAAGCTTCCAAAAGTAATATTGAGAATGCTTTCCACATCAACATAGAACCTGGAATTATCAGCCTTGGTGGAAGTTGAACTAGAGTTGATTTTCTTTGAAGTCATTTTAATGTTCTTGAACTTTGGTGATTGAAAAGTTGAGATGAGAGGTAGAGATTGTCCCACTGTGCATGCCAGAATTTGTAGACAATAAATTTGCGTCGAGAAAATAAAATCAAGACCGAAAAATATTGCAACAATCGTAGTATTTGATTTCAAGTAATTTGAGTGTAAAATCTCTATGAATCCTCTGATTCTTCTTTTCAATAGTAAATAAATTCAAGGGCCTTTGAGCTTGATCTTGAACCTATATTTATTGTCACGAACGATGATCTTGAATTCAACTAGTACGAACTTTGATTTGAACTCGTACTCCTTGAATCTTGATTTGTTCTTCGTTCTTGAGTTTGAACTTGATTTGTTCTTCGTTCTTGAACTTGATTTGTTCTTCGTTCTTGAGCTTGAACTTGATTTGTTGAACTTGAACTTGATTGCTTGAAGCTTAAAACTTATGGAGGAATTTGCAGGGATTGATCCACGAGCTCTTTCTTGCTTCTTGTTATAACTTCTGGTGTCTTTTCTGGGTTTTGAAGACCCCTATTTATAGTTGTGGGAGGGAAGAGTAATGATAAAAACAAACTCTTTCCGACCAATCAAATTGAAGTGTGACAAGGCCGCATTTGATTGACTAGAACATATCACTTGCACGTGTGGCGCGGTTTCATTGGCCTTTTAATGTGACTTGGCATGCCTTGTCATTTTGACACGTGGCACCAGACTGAGCCTCTAGGAAAATGACATTTCGGGCTTAATGAAGTGGGCTCATCAATTTAGCCCAATGGATTAAGACTTATTTATTTAATCCATATATATTTGATTTATATAATTAATTTAAGTATATTAGCCCATAATATCTATTTGGACCAATATATCTTGAATTTAAAATATAGTCCAAATTATTTTATGGGTTTAATTTGAATAAAATTTATATGTCTACAATTAGTTAACTAGATGGCCAACCGACTCATGCCGTAATTATCCCAACAAAGATTGATATATTTTTATATTTAAAAATAATTTAATTTTAGTATTCTCATTTTAACCTAAATGAGATGATTTTATAGCCACATAAATATCAATGCTTATTTTGAATCACAAATTTCGAAAGTTTATCTTTCTTTCTTAAAACTATAAGTCCAGTAAAACACTGCCACATAAAATGTGACAAATAGAGTATATTTCTAATCGTTTATTTTGTATCATTCATATAAGAATAATAAAACGATAAGCAGAAAGATTACTTCATAGTTTGGAAAAAAAATAGTGTCGGTAGGTTAAATAAATTATAAATAATTTGGTGTAAAAATAAGTCAATAGGTAAAATAAATTTCAAACACTTAACCTCCTAGATGGGATGAATCCGCTTGACCGTTGCTAGTATTTCTGGTACTTAATAGTTCAAGTTTTGCTTTATTCCTGCGGATTTTACTTTCTTTTTCAATAAAATTAAAGAGCAGGTCATAGATTCCATGTAATCGTTTTTAGTCACCTGAATATTTATTCTTATATTGACCTACAATTATTCTTCAAAACCTATGCAGTGATGGAAAATAATGCCTTTTCTGCATGCAGCTTGATGAGATGCTTCAAACTTGAGGGACTAAAGTTGATAAAATTCACAACTTGAACGTTAGTAATCGATTGATGAATTTATGTGTTGCTTTTGATGAATACATTAATATCTGACATTTTGAAGAATGATAGTTGCAAATATATAGTAATATTGAACTTTATCTCATGCTAACAGTAGTTGAATGGTTAGTACAAGAATAATGTGATTTTCCTTCACCACTCCATTCTGGTGCTCCAATAATGTCAGATAAGTTATTAGGATTATGAGCAGAAGACTATGGAGCTAGCTGTTGTCAATGAGCTGCTTCCCTCGTTCCATCTGTTCGGTTCTCTTCACAACTTTGTAGATTACCACAAAGATAGCTAACTCTATTATCGAAGGAATAAGATAACATGCAATAATTTGGCACCTTGCATATATATATATATATATATAATTTAGTGTAAAAATACAAATTGTTTTAGTACAAGCGGAATGAAACAACTTTTGCTCTCTTTTGGTCGTCAACTTATCGGGGAATGAAAACGAAGGAACTTAAGTCATTAAGAAACATTGTCTTCCTTCGGCGGCAAGTACCTAAAGATAAGCACAACATGAAAAAGATCAGATTTTATTTTTCACTGAAACAAGAAGGCAAAAGCTAAAAGGTGATTAATACAGGAAAAGGGAAAGTTGATCCTGCCAGAATTACATCAAATTAAGGTGCTCAAACTCTGCTTCAGGTACCAGAACTTATGAAGTATTTTGTAATTGTTCAAATAGTGTTGTTATTTCTGCTAATGTCACTACTGAACTCGTGAATTGAGACATTTACCGCTGATGCTTTAGCCAACGGGAAAGTTGATAGAGCTGCACTGACTCATTTGAAACATGGAAAGCCAGAAGCAGATGATTGCGAGGATGTACCATCCATGCAAATCTCATACACAATAAGGAATACACACATAATACTGCACCCAAAGAGACACAAGCAATCAGAATTCCACAATTTAAAATGGTCTAAAACTGAGACAATATTTGATGCAAGATCAAAAGCCGAGCACCAGAAGTTCTGCTTCCCCAGAAAATCGTCTTATTTTGCACCAAAAAGAAAGGACAATACAAACAGACAATTGTTTTAGTAAAATGACAATAATATTCACCTGCAGTCATATTCCCGGATATTGCATCTGCGGGCTTCCTTGAATCCATCATTCCCTAACATATTGGTTCACATAAATTTCAGAGAGTTGCACTCGGAGAAAAAAAGAGAAGGAACTTTATACATTAGATAATTTAACGAAAACGACAAACTGAGGTTGGGAACACACAGCAATGACAAATCCCCAATTGGCCATAGGTCCCCAGAAGTGAGTTGTTTTAGGGCCAACAGGACTGTTCAAGAATGCCCGGAAGAAAGCCATGAACTTGTAATTTCAATTGTCTCTGCATATATTTAAACAACATCCAAGCTTATCAAAATTTACAAGACTTTGCAAGTATCAACAAATGACATGTTCATTATAAATGACAAATTTCTAGCTGTCTACCAGGCTTGAAATCTTCTCTATATCGGATACGCCCTAGAAGACAGGCTTGAAAATCTAACCTCCTAAATTTGTTGAGAGATATGGTGTCTAATGTTAAATAGAAACTCCATAATATAACAGAAAACAAATACTAGCAACTTAATTTCTATGTGTTTATCTATCTAGCACCGAGGGTTTAATTAACAAAATCTTATTTGCACTCTGATGTTTACATCAGATTATGCAACTTAACCGTAATAGTTAAAAATATTAAAAATACATATCACTTAATCATGAGTGGTGAATGATTCATATCACTTAACCATTAGTGAATATAAGATACATGTCTTGCATTTGTTTGGTGAAAACACCGAACGGGTAATTTTTATTTCCTACTAGCCCCAATAATCTGAACCAAACTTTAATTAATGCAATGAAATTATTAATTCATACTCAAGACCCTTATTCGTAAATTGCAATTAAATTCAATCCTAATCATTTTCCTCTTAATGAGAAAACAAATAGGGAACTGCGCGCTTATTTTTAGCTAAGGACATGAAATGCCTCTTTGCAGATATTCTTTATTTATATGTGCTTTACAAACTTTTTTCAAAATATACCACAACCAAAGAAAATCTGAAGAACTTTCAAATATACTTATCAGTGAAACAAAATCTTTGAAAACATTTGCAAATTCTTCCAAATAAGTAATGAGCCCTTAGTACCGTTTGCCGCTGCAGCAGATGGCTAAACAAGGGGAGAGAAGCCGCCGGTGAGGGAGAAATAGCAGTAGCAGCTAGGTTTTCGGTGGTCGCTTTGATACGAATTGGAGTTATGAGCAGCTGCGAAGGTGATAGCAATGGCTGCCGACTATATAAATAACCATTGGAAATCGATTTGGACCAACTGGTTTTGTTTCATTTGAAATTCCAATTATACATTTGACACTTTAAATGTCAGAGATTATGGTACCTAATTTTAAGACCATATCACGTTCACGTGTAATTAGTTATGTCACGCGGGGGTATATCTACCCACATTAATTATTATTGCATCAAAAAGGGCAGAGGAGAGTACGCCATAAATAAAGGTGTATCATTCTTATCCACTTCGAAAATGATATTTGGAAGGGTATTCGAATTGTGGGTACATTGCAAAAAGTCGAGGCTCCATTCTCTGTAAAAACTTGTTGGATGGCCAATTTTTGGACCGTCTATAATATTTAATCGCAGTTTTTAAAATTTAATAGGTAAATAATTATTTTTAAGATGATAATATTTGAGTAAAAATATCCCAAGTAAAAACACATTGCTTCAATATAGAATATTGTAGTTCGAAATTTTGACAAGTAAAACTGATGAGATGTACAAGGTATCAGACAAAGGGAAAATGTTCGATAAAAACAAGGTTAGGGCTCCTTCGTTACTATCTATATCTGAAAAGGGGAAAACTTCTATTGGGCCTTCGGAGCAGGCCATATGAAACAAACAAGAACAATCAAAGTTGGGCCCAGAAGTTACACATAAAAGGCCCAAAGGATCCTATACATTAAGGCCTTTTGAAGAATATTCTGAAACGTTACCAGCTTCTAGAAATATGATACTGAGTTATAGATAATACTATATTTTTCTTTTTTTTTTTTTATAGAGAATATAAATTAGTTATAGACCAGCCAATAATGTATAGACAACTGGAGTTAGTTAGTGAGGAGTAAGATTCTTTTTAGCATTCTTTCTTGTATATATAGAACAGTCTAATACAAAGCATACACCCGAAATAGAATATAGAAGAAAATTCTCTCTATTCTGAAATCCTACATGGTATTAGAGCTTTAGGTGCTCGTCTCTTTTCATTTTTTTTTCAGTCGTCTTCTTTCTTCTCAATGGATCCTACCAGTGAAGATCAGACTTTCTCTGTTACTGGAACCTCTACCTTAATGTATTCTTCTAACCCTTACTATCTTCATCCTTCTGATTCACCAGGAATGGTGTTAGTCAATTCTCTTTTCGATGGAAAAGGTTATGCTGGGTGGAGTAGAGCTATTGTTATAGCTCTTTCATCCAAGAATAAAGTCGGTATCATTGATGGATCTTCCTCTGCTCCAGCTATTGGTTCTTCTCAATATAGGGCTTAGAGTCGATGCAATGACATGGTGATCTTATGGATACTCAACTCACTGTCAAAGGACATTGCTGAATATATGCTCTACTCCAAAACTGCAAGACATATATGGAAGGAGTTAGAGATCAGATTTGGGTAATGTAATGGAGCTTAACTGTACCAACTTTAAAAGGAGCTATCAGATGCAGTCCAGGGAGCTTCAGATATAACAGGTTATTTCACTAAAGTTAAAAAGATTTGGGATGAGCTGGATGCACTTAATACTTTTGATCATTGCTCCTGCACATGCATCTGTGGAGGCAAGGTGAAAACCTTGAAATCTCATCAGGATGGAAGATTGATACAATTCTTGATGGGGCTCAATGAAGCTTACTCAGGAGTCAAGAGCAACATATTAATGATGGATCTTCTTCCTTCAGTTCATCATGCCTACTCTCTACTAATCCAAGATGAGAAGCAAAGGGAAGTGCATGTTTCTGCACATCATCCCTCGAAAGCTGCTTTTATGGTGTCAACTCAGAAGTTCAATGGAGGGCAGAAACCTGCAAACACATAGAAGTTCACTGGCACAGAAGGGAGATACAAAACAAACTTTGACAAATAAAAGGGAGGAATATTTTGTACCTATTATAAAATGACAAATCATGTTGTTGGAAATTGTTACAGGTTGATTGGATTCCCACCAGATTTCAAATTCACCAAAATCAAATAGTTTCAGCCTACAACACATAATAATGCTTCAGCAATTGACTCTGATTCAAGCAACACTCAGTCAGTTCAGGATCTGGGAAATACCTCTACTGGGAATGTGATCACACAGGAGCAGTTTTCTCAATTGTTCCAGTTACTCCAAGAGGTCAAGGTTGGACAACAAAGTGATCAGATCTCTTATGTTAATGTCTCTGCAACCTGTGCTGGTATCATCACACCTCTAGGGCTGTCTTGAATAGATAGAGCCCTTGTTTAAATTCACCAAGAACTACTTGACTCTTCATTGAAGGGGCCTGTAATATTGTACCAAAAGAATAAAAAATCAACAAACAATTTAACTGAGTGGTGAACTTATGAACTGAAAGAAGATTGAACCCGGAATCATGCACAAACAGAACATTATGAAGAACCGGATCTAATAAAATAGTGACACTTTCTTTGTGAGTGATTTACATACAATGTTGTAGACAAGGGTGTTATTTTTTAAGGATAAACTTGTCATAGTTCATATATTCTGATGCTCCAGAATCAAGAATCCATGAGTGAAAAACAATATGACAAGAGAGTGAAAAAGTATTAGGATCTAAACTCAAGCCTAGTTCATTTTTAGCTTTCCCTAATGCAGTTTCTGCAGATGTTCTAGTTTCAAAATCTAATTATAATAGCAATATTACTTGTACAACTTCTAATTCTCCTAGTAGTGCTTCTAAGTCTAATCCTAATCAATTTCCCCCTACTGTAAGCCTATGGCATAGGAGATTGGGGCATTTTCCTTTTACTTGTACAAAGAATTTATCAAATTTCAATTTGTCATCTCTTTCCAATTCTAATATTGCATGTGATGTTTGTGCAAAAGCAAGGCAGGCCAAGCTGCCTTTTTCCAATAACTACATTTCCACTAATTCAATTTTTGAGCTTATTCATATGGACACATGTGGACCATATAAAACTAACACTCGTGATGGATACAAATATTTTCTTACTATAGCGTGTAATGACCCGATATGTCATTTTAGCGTCCTGTTTGGTAGCTTAATGTCTCAAAAAGCTTCATATTATATATTATGACTTACGTGTGCGGTCGAGTTCAATTTTTGGATAATTCGGGATTGATTTGGAAGAATAATTCTTGTTTTAGAAGCTTAAGTGACAAGAGTTGATCGGAGTTTGACTTTGTATAGACGACTCTAGAATGGTATTTTGTTGATTCAAATAGCTTTGTGTGGTGATTTTGGACTTAGGCATATGCTCGGATTTGGATTTGGAGGTCAGTAGGCTGATTTGATGCATTTTGGCAAAAGTTAGAAAGTTGATGATTTGGAATGTTGAGAGGTTTGACCGGGAGTTGACTTTATTGATATTGGGTTCAAATTGCAATTTCAGGAGTTGGAATAGCTCTGTTGTGTCATTTGGGACATGCATGAAAAATTTGACGTCATTACGGATTGATTTGATATGATTCGACGCGAGTTGTTGAAGTTGAAAGTTCATAAGTTCATTAAGTTGATTTGAGGTACGATTCGTAATTTTGATGTTGGTTGATAAACCATCTTCAAGAACATATTTTCAAAAAACATTTCAAACGAAAATTATTTCAAAATAATTCATATTTATATTATTTTACTTTATATTATTTCACTAACAATTTTACTTCTTTACCTTGCGAGGTACTATCACACAAAAGAAAATCAAAGACTAAATCCGGTCAAAACCCTGTGTCATGATTCAAAATCTAACTAGTCGTGATGGCACCTAACTCAACCCGCAAGGTGAGCCAGATAACAGTCGATACAACTATAATAAAGTAATAAGGGATAGATAAATGAAATACATGAAACTATATACAAAATTCCAAGGACTGGTAGTACAAATCATGAGCTTCTAAGATTTAGAATTTACAAAGCTAGTACGAAATAAATACATCAGTTGTTCAAAATATACATCAATAGGTTTGCAAATCTAAAGCTACCAAGGACGAGTGGTAGCTATAATCAGAATACAAGTACATCTTCAATGCCAGCTCCTGCAGTACACAACAACATCACCTCCAAGATCTGCACGCAAGGTGCAGAAGTATAGTATGAGTACAACCGACCCATGAACTCAATAAGAATCCTAACTAACCTCGGTGAGGTAATAGAAGCAAGAACTATAAATGATACTCGCTGATCACTTGTGCAGTTCATAAATTCAACAAGTATAGAACAGATATATGATTAAATCAGGTAAATTACAGGTAAAACCACCTTGGTGCTCACAATTCTTTATTTTAAAGTGTTCTACTCAGTCAACAATCCAGCATATAATGAAGTGCAAGTAAATCAGGTAAATAGTCAAAGAAATTGCAAGTAAAGATGAAATGCAATAACCAAATATCTGTCTGTTGCGGTGCGCAACCCGATCCATATAAAAATAATCCAATAAGTCTTGTTGCGGCGTGAAACCCGATCCAAATAGTAATAACCAGCTTTCCCAGAGCTCACATCAACAAGAAACCTATCAATTTCTCACAATCCATGTGTACACCATCAAGAGAGAAACATGAGAGGGTGACCCTAGGGGGATGGATCCATATCCACACACAAGCACGACCAACTCAATGTGCTACCAGCCCAGCGTGGTCACAAGCTCAATATAATAATCTACCCAGCGTGGTCACAAGCTCAATATAACGGATCGGCGCGGCATGATCACACGCATAACGACACAATTCGCCCGGCGTGGTCACACACATCACAATAAAATTCGCTCGGCGTTGTCACAAGCATAACAATACAATCCGCCCAGCATGGTCACAGGCATAAAAATACAATCCGCCCGGTGTGGTCACGGACATAACAATACAATCCTCCCGGCGTGGTCACATGCATAACAATACAATCTGCCTGGTGTGACATTGACATCCAATCCAAATCATATCACATAGAGGAAAATATACAAGACCACATGTATATGATCACTGAATATCATATTTCATGATCCTGGACCGGTATAAGTGACATGCTAAGGTGTAGGCACGTGCAAAGTGTGCTATCATAGCTCAAATCGATAATTTCATCACAAAAGTAGTAATTACCAAGTTTATTCAGGGAATTAGCCTCTTCGTAACCTCAAACATGACTCAAATAGTTCACAACAA